TTAATACTTAGTATTAATAATACCTACTATATACGGTAGTACTAATAGCACTATTGTAATTTTCAGTACCTACTAATAATACGCTCAAAAAATTGATTTTTCCTCTTTAGGACCAATTTAATTCCCAATTAGGACTCATCATACAAGATCAAAATGTGGGTGTCACATTTAGGTACTCATATACATATCCCTAATAGTTTTAGTTTAAAAAATTATAAGCTTCTTTAAGTAGTCGGTTAATAGAGGTAAAATCACTAACAGTTTACTCTTTTATAAACTACCTACGTTTGGTTGTCGTACTTAAAACAACATTATTAAGGTTCATTATATATAATATAAAGTATGGACAGGTAATTTGATTGAAACGAAGGATCTGAAGGGCGACAGTTGACTTAATCTGCCCTCGCACAACCTTGACATTACTGGCAAATGACATTTATTAGCAAGTAGGCAGGTAGATAGGTACTATTTTTTCTTTTTATTTATTTACTATATTTTTCTCTTTATTTGTTCCTCTGCTCTTTAGACCGAATCGAGTCGTTTTTTTCAAGGTTTTGACTGCCCATAGAATAACTGTTGAAGTTAAATCCTCTGCTAACTTCGATCACCGGTGATCCCCATTGCGTTTAATGTATTAAGTACAAGTATTTAATTTATTTTGACCATGATGGTATCAAATCTCAATAACAAGTAGAGTAATAAATGTATTAAAGCACTGCTAAGCACAGACTGTACCTGGATAGTTACAAAATAGTCTCTTTAAACATCACCCAATTCAAGAAAGAAATCCCCGATTTCATAAATACGCTTCCCCATTCAAACCTTGTCCAAAACAGTTTAAATCATATAACTTCTGATTCTGATTTCTCCATAGAAATAAAAAAAAAACACAAAGAAAAGTTTATTAAATCCTTTGAACTTATCTCACCTACACAATGTCCCACTCACCTAATCCCACGTGATCCCTACAATTATTATCATCTAATTAAAAGCTGCGCTAATATTAATCAAGAATTATTGCTAATTTTTCTAACGAGCAGCATGAAATACTCAGATAAATTATCAAGCTTAATTAGTATCTTCATGAGAAGAAATTCTTAACGTGGGTGTATCTACGAGGTTATATTAATCTTGCTCGCAACGAAACAGAAAAAAACATCATTAACAATGTAACAGAGAATTCGTGTTTAATAAGCTCTTCTTTATACAAGTTTCGAGAAATAAATAAAAATTTAACTACTACCAGTCTTAGGGATTGTTATTAAATACAACGCGCCCACGCTTCACCACCTACGCAGTATAAAACATCATAGAATGTTCTAGTATTGTGCTTTTGTCTTAAAATTTTAAAATCCTACATTTCCATAGAAGAGCGCAGTGAAATTCCATTTGTTTTTTAAAGATTAATACCAATTAAGGGCAAGTACGCCTGTCGACGTGTTCATGTCCCACTCATTACGTAACTCCCACCTACCGACGCGGATTGATTTTTGTTACCATCGCACTCTGTCACAACACGCATGCGCCGAAACTTGACGCACACACCCTTACCAAACGACCACACATTGACGCACCCTCCAACTTTATCAAACATAGAATTTCAACTCTACACGGATAAGATAAAGTCCAACCTTGTTCGGTACTGCGAACAGTTGGTATTTTTAGATAATACGTGCCTATTATGGCGAGTACAGACGCGCCCTCTCTCATACAAATCGGGAAACCTCGTCGCGGAAGGTTTTCCTCTTTCTGTCTATATTTTCTGTAAAATATCCACATTTTACAGCACAGTTTCGGCGTCTTTTTACTCTAGCTCGTACGTCAAACCACTGTGTGTGTTCATGGGGTTGCATTTTGCGTAAAAAAGAAGGTTTTAGTCGGGAAAGGTGTGACTAAAAATAGATCACTGCCCGATATACTTGTAGGGAAATCTAGTGAGAGCTTTCCATTCATAAATTACATTCATTTGGTGTCGGGCAGTGAAGTAATACAGTTGGGAGAAGCGATTTAACCAGTGAATGTATTAGTTCGGTGATAAGGTTCAAGTGCTGACGGGGATCGATACACGGGCCCCTGCCTGAGTTCATCTTTCGAGAAGACACCAGTTCACCGCTCAGAAGAAGAAATGTAAGTTTTTTAATCCAAAACTATTTTACCATACTTACTTATTGTTTCAACTTACTTCTTAATATTATGATCAAATTGTAATCATACAGAAATGCTACTGTCACCATAGTAGTCCATTTGAACCGTTCGATAGAATGACGCTCCACAATGGATTATAGATTCTATAGATATACAAACTCCTTGGGGCTTCTACGCTTAAAGATATACGGCCATCTCAGATTATAAAACAAAAGAAGGATGAATTCTGAATTTGAAATTTTACTTTAACCAATGTCATTGGCTTATTGAGTGCCAGTATTTTTTGATTGGGTTTTCCAATGACTCCATGTAATCGGTTTAGAGTGGCACCATATTGGGGTAGGGCTACTGCGCTTGGGTTATTGTAGGTCATATGTTTTTTAATATTTAGATTTAGTAGTATCCAGTCGTATGTATGTCAATGTATGATTCACATTAGCGTGGGTGACTACTATTATGATTAATGTGACTGTGTGACGTATATCTACGTGAGTATATATACATTTGTATAGATACAAATAAATAAACTAATATAGATCTAGAGTCGTCACTCTGTACTTTACCTCAATGGCGATATTTAATTTATTTGTTGGTAAATTAATCATTCATATTATGTGATAAATAAGATAAGGTTTTAATATCTTAAAACGATAAGCAGAAACTAAGTAATACAATTTTATTCAGTCTACATTTCACCAAATATAGTATGTATGTCAATCATAATTCGCAAGTTTATTAAAATATCTAGTACCTACCGCGAAATTCAACAATATATATTGTACTTAACCCGACTCAGGAATTGAATTGCTCAACAATCGCACTTGGGACCACTTGATCAACGAGGAAACAGGAGACAGATTCCGTTAATAGAATATTCATTGGTAAATACTAACCATTATGTCTTATGTCAATATGTCTTTTCTCTAAATCGTTCACTACATTTACTGCGCCTTCTTTTTAGCCAAGATTGGAATGATGAGGAACTCTTCTTCGTTTTATTTTTAAGATTATCTACCCTATAAGGCATGGTCTATACAGTTATGCAGAACAGTTAAAATAAACGTGCGAGAGCCATGTACGCCACAAATGGGTCGGATCGAACAGTGATACCACGGCCATACACAACACGGGCGTGAAACCACGCTTGCGATGTATTTCGCTATGCCTAATAAACGAAAATAAATGTCACTCTTCTATGGAATTGAACACACTAATTTACGTTAAGTTTTTCTGTATTAAATTCTCAAGAATCGTCAGGAAATAGCGTTTATGTCAACCCTTTTTGCAAGTAACCAAAAGATAATTTTTTTTGGAACCGTATACTTATTATTTCGGTATTCACCATCATCTACCTCTATAATGCAGAAACAGACGAATCCCTTATCCCAAAGAGACATTGGGAAGATTTTCCCAACTCCCCAAAGTACTCAACGTCATCGAATTCACAGCTTTAAACTTCAATGCGGCCAACGTAACAAAATGAACTTCGAAACGTGCTACCAACGTCATCGGAAAGTAATACGCCGTGCTGATTGGTCGAGCCTGCACAACATAGATACATTAAAATTTCAAAGCACGAACGTAGCATTAAAGTACATACGGGTACAATCGTATTGTAGATTTTATTTGTGTTTGATTTTAGAAAGATATTAGGAGAAAACGGACTAGCTACAATGGGCTATTTCAATAACGTGCAATAGTTTATCTACTCTATGACCTAGTTTGTAATAAAGTCGAAAGTAGATCTTATCTCTCTCTCTTTATGGCAAAGGTTGAAAATCTACAAGAAGGATGAGTAGAGGTCAAACGTCTGCACATCAGCTCTCCTATACAAATGGCATTTAAGCGCCATACAAATGTGTCAATAGAAAAGTTATTGTAGTGTAGGTATTGGAATGGCATTAATAATCGATTTATATGTTTGTCGTGATTTTTAAGATAAATATTGTATATTTGTTCTTATGTCTAAAGTTATGATATTTCGAAATATTGGTGTAATTCCATACACTGAAACGATCTTTATTTTCCTTCCTACACATCAAATTCTTATATCGACTTGTGTTTAGACACGATTAGACGAGATTTTGCATATTGTTCAATTTGAAGTCTCTCATAATATCATATACTTCTTTCAGCTTTATAAAATGACTTACTCAGGAGAAATGTACCTTTTCTAACAGAGCAACGTAACTATTGAATATTGTTTTCCCTTTTGTGCCCTATGAAAAAAGGCATGTGGTTTTATTTGTCCCATCGATTTCTTAGAGTGACGTAAGCCTTTATACCTGAAGAACACAAAATAAAGAAAAATTAAAAAATTACTGTTGCTAAGCGTTAAGTAAATTTCATTGAAGTCGAAAAGATTTCATGAACAGAAAATGTGTTCAAAACTATAACAGAATTACACAATTTAATCACGACAAAAATAGAACTATTCACACAAACCTGAACAGATGACTAGCAAAACCCACGTCAAATAAAATATCATATTGCTAATCCTACCTCTCAACTCATACCAACACAAGCTCTCATTTAATTTAACATTTGATCCTAATTATCAAGCCTGACTGACTATACGAGGGTCGGGAACCCAGTGACCTATTATCATGAACTTGCCGACTTAATATACACCATGAATATCATTAATATTCAACCTTGTTCCTTTGTGATTAAGCCTAAACTCTTTTTAAGAAAGGAGTAGCTTGATATGCTGGTGGTTGTATAAAAATAAACGCGACATTTTAAACCTTGTTTTAAAGGTCACAGGTGTGACTTTCTTAGAAATGGTTTAAATATATGTGGTGTATAATTGGTTACTGAAGCTGCTGGTTGCAGATTGGCGTCAACCAGTTGATCTGGAAGTTATTGGGTGGGGCTTGTTGGGTAGTGAACACCTTGTGGTTGGGATGACAATGACTTGATTACTAACTACACATCGAAGTTACATTTTGCTTGACGCAAAGTTCAGTCGATAGGCACATTCATATGTTAAATTACAGTTTTTTATTGAGAACACAATAATGAATAATGGTGTTACAGTGCCAGAACATTTTAACCGGGCGTTAAGATTTCAAGTTAACATTCTAACAAACTTAACCTTCCTTTTGAAGTAGTTAACATCTAAAACTTCTACCACGACCACAAAAAGTAAGGGACCATATCATTATTTTCTTAGGCCTAGCTAAAATATTTACCTACATTTGGTACGGGGGAAATGTAAATAGCATAAGGAACTTACTGAATCGCCTCTTTGATAGTGGAGTCACAAAATCAACTACTACATCTGGAATTCGAAATTCAATAGCTCAGCCTCTAGTCTTATACAATCTTCCTATACTAAATTTTTAGCAGTTATTGGATCGGATGTCGTGGTGGCCCAGAGGCTTAAGACTTGAAACCTCCCTACCACAACGTACCAATGTGACTTTTTCCGAGTTATATACAATTTCTAAGATTATACCACTGTTAAACGCAGAAGGAAAACATAGTAAGGAGGCCTGGGCTTGTAATTTCTAATTATAAGTTTGAAACGCATTGAGCAAGCGTGGTGATTACTGCTCAAACCTTCTCCGTTCGAGAAGAGGCATTTGGTCAGCGGTGGCCACTTATAGGCTGTTGATGATGACTGGAATGGACTCAAGCGTAGTACTTACATGCGTTTGAAAATTACTGTCTTCAGATACATTTTTACAATAGAGAAATAGAAACATGCTCCAACAATATGTTCTTTTATTATTAGAAGCCTCTAATTAATTTCATTCTTTATGGACACCCCAGTATTAACCAATCGATTGGTCACGAAGAAACCGTGTTTTTAGACTGTCTAGACATGGCTAAAGGCTAATGTTCACTAATAGTCTAATGTAGATCGACTATGTGATACGAATATGTCGAACTTTTGTAGTATTTTGGTTAGCTGTTCATATTCAATAGGGTAGATGACTAATTTTTATTTTAATGAACTGATAAATTATTTAAAAACATTAGACACGTATTTTTTTATTTTCTTACGGAATGGTGTTGATGATATATTAATTTGAAATGTCGCATGACATCACTTTTGAGTACGATTTATACTCTAAAATCATATAGCTACCTCCCTCTCCTAAACTTTAATTCGTTTTATCTAAGTATCGTTTTCTTATACGACGAAATAAAAAACACGTGTCTAATATTTTTTCGTTACCCAACTGACGGACTAATTAGATTTTTAATTTTTATACCCTGTCATCATCCCTATTATGGCAAAAAGATTTTTTTTATGAAAGCCAACACTTTCACAACAGGCAGTATTAGTAAAGTATTACATACACACTTACACTATAGAGGTACATATAAAAAAGGTCATGTTAAATATCGGTGGGGAGGTAGCTTAAAACTAGGAGACAGACATAGGATACTTTTATTCAATGATTTAATGAAAACCCTACGGGAAGGAGAAAAAACGCGTACGAAATCGCGGTCAGAAACTAATAGAAGGTAACTATATAAAAACTGTAAGGTACATCATATACAATATACATGTTGAACCATAATTATACAAGGTCATTCAAGGTTTATTGCTAATATTGCCATTCACTTTAGGGGTGAATGTGAGGGGTGATCCCATAACCTTTGTACTAAAGAGTACACATTGTTGCACAAATGACCTTCATACATCATATAGCCGACTAATATATTATCCAATATAATATGAAAGATGAAAATCACGTTACTCTACTACTTGGTATACAACATGTAACTTAAATAACGCACATCCTGAAAATAGTTTGTTCAGAATCGTTAACTGAATAGATTTACATATATTTTAGTAATTTAGTAATTTTTTATCCCAATAATAATTAAAACTACGGAAATTATTGTCATATTAACCCTGTATTGTTAAAACAAATCGAAATGGACCGTAAGTCAAAGCAATAAGACTTTTATAATCGCAGTTTTATTTGTATTCATATAAATTCTATCATTCAATACAAAATAAA